TAAAAAATACTAAACAGGCAAAGTTTTCTGAAATTTTTGAACCCTTGTGTGCTAAATGCATTTATGTCTGTGGATAGTATGATCATGAGAAAAAGTAATAGTCTAGGCAATTAAATCTGCCACATAAAGCTAGGTATGAAGGATGATTCAGAATTCACAGTCTATTGGGGTGAACATCAAGTTACTATAAAATAGAGATGATAGTCATAGTTTTCTCATAGGATATAAGGGGCATTAACATATTAAGTAATTATAAGTACTTTTTAAATGTTTACAGTTATTCTGGTGTTTTATGCTAAGAACTGTATGAGAGACATGTGCAGTGATAATTTAGATGAAAACGTAATTCTGTACAGGGTTGTCAAGCAAAGTGTACTGAAGCTCTTCTTTAGGTAGGACGTACAAGCACATGGAGATTGGGAGTATAGCATTCAAGGAAGAAATGCAGCTTCTGGTAGAACCACAGAAATAAACAAGTATATGGTGTTTTAGGGGTATAAAAATCTAGTGTGACTAGATTATATGAGCTATGTCAAAGCACTAAGTAATCTGTAAAGGAGGCAGCATGCTATCGTGGAAAGATAAAAAGCTTAGAAGTGGGCATAATATTCCAGAAGTGGATATAATTTTAGCTCACTTTAGCTATGTGGTCTTTGATGGATTATTTAACTTCTTATTTTCTTTTCTCTTATTGGTAAATGAGATAGTGAGTATTAATGCTTTGTTGTGTGAGAGATGTGAAGAATTTAGAATAGTGCTGGTACATGAAAGAAATGCAGTATGTCCTTGCCTTTGCTGTACCTCCTTTATTCTCTTCTTTGTTAGTAGCTTTACTTACGTAATGATTTTTAAAAGACAGTTTTTATACAATTAATTTTTTTATAGATTGAGAAGTATTAAAAGTTACTTATGATACAAAAATACTAATAGATGGGTGTGGTGACTCACACCTGTAGTCCTGGCCCTTTGGGAGGCTGAGGTGGATGGATCACTTGAGCTCAGGAGTTCAGGACCAACCTGGGCAACATGGCAAACCCCATCTCTACAAAAAAATACAAAAACTTTTTTGTATTTTTTTGTAGCCCAGCATGGTGGCAAGTGCCTGTTGTCCCAGCTACTTGAGAGGCTGAGGTGGGAGGATCAAGTGAGCCTGGAAGGCAGAGATTGCAGTGAGCAGAGGTCATACTACTGCACTGCAACCTGGGTGACAGAGTGAGGCCCTGTTTCAAAAAAAGAAAAAAATACTAGTTACTGTTTTTTTTTTTTTTTTTAACAGGGCCTTACTCTGTCACCCATGTTGTATTTTTTTATTGACACCTCTGTTATTCTTTTTTCTTTTGTGCTTAGCATGGGTTCTGATACATTGTAGAAATTAACATTTGTTGACCTTGTGCAGCTCGAAATGTGAAAAATCTCAAGATCCTACCTTAATTGTGCTGGCAGCTAAATTAATGGGTGGATTCAGTATAAGCAGTCACCTCAATTTATGAGCGAACCCTATTTAAATATGAAATAATGTGTAATTATCTTTTTTTTTTAAATAAATGACTCATAAGTTATGGGAATAATAGCTATTTAGACATCTTTATCCAATGTGACTCTTTGCTTTGATTAAATGAAACTTTTTTTTTTTTTTTTGGCAAATGATTCTATTAATACAAACTACTTGGGAAAAATTATGCTTAGTGTGAGAGGACAAAATAAAGCTCCTGGCTAAAATATAACTAGGCTGCTCAAACTTCATTCATTTGCCTGGGTGGGGGCTAATGAGTAGTCCAGTTCACCTCAAGTTCAATTTTAAGAGATACTAAAATTCATAAAAAAGAAACCACATTTTTAAAAAGGTCTGAATTTATCTGAAAGATAGAAAGGATTTTCTTCTTGTAAGAGCACCTGGAGCAAAATAGATGCTTCATTTCAATAATATGGATCTTTGTCTCTTGTCTATGAAGTGCTAACCACAAATAATACATTAATGAATATATTTTCTCAAGGTCGGTGGAACAACTTGCAAAGGTATTTAGGGACTCTGTATTTTATGAGTTAAGAAGTTTTCCTGTAGCATGCATAAAACTATCCTTTAAAGTACTTAAAAATTTACTTTGAGATCTGGTGAAAGGTGAAATGTGAAAAATTTTACTGTAAACTCTAGGTTACTTAAAAAATTATGGTCATTGTTTATTTTCTTTGGTTTCTTTTATTATGAAAACTACAGTAAAAGGTAGAAATCGATTACTTTAGAAGGGAGAAAAAAACACAGATGTAACTTTCTTATTTGGAGACTCAGTTCTTTTGTCTACTTCATGGTTATGTCTGTTTTTTACCTCTCTATGCTATCGTTTGCATATAATATACTTCTTTTTTTGTTTTGGGGGTACATTTAGATTACTTTTTTTCTTGATAAACAATCTCGTAGATCCACAGAATGTCAGAGCTGAAGTAACTGTAGTGGTTTTCTAGTTCCACAGTGTGATTTTATGGCCCAAGAAATTGATTCCTAGAAACTTTCAGTGAAATAACTAGATAATGACAACTCTACCAGAACATAAGTCTTCTGACTTTCAGTACAGCTGATACTTCTATCATAGCATGGCATCTTTCTTTACAAAGACTTTATTTGGAGATTAGAATTTCATGCAGTGAAATTCTGCCTGTCTAGATTACTTCTTAGGATTCTCTTTTGTCCTCCTCTTTCCTTAGAATCCTTGTATCACCAAATCCTACTTTGTTAGTAAAACTGTTTTCCTTGCTCTAGAATATCTGCCACATCTGTTCCACCTTCTTGTATCTTATCGATATTTCATCGTATAATTCTGTTATTTCTTCTTTGAAGCCTTCTATATCTGTTCTAGTTCAAACCTGTCCTTTCTAATTTTTGAAATATTTGTAGTTTGTATTAACTATTTTACTCTCTCATTATGTATTCAATTTTTATCACTAATTTTTTTTATTGTGCATGTTTTCTTCTTGCTCTGTTCTTTAAATGTGCATTTAAATTATTAAGAAAAATCTTGTTAGGATTGTTGGTGACAGGCTGTTGATGGAATATTGAGATGTCAACAGGCTCTTGTTGACATTGATACCATATACCTAGACCTAGATATTTGTTTATTAATTCATTTAAAAATATTTAGCAGATACTGCTGTGGTTTGAATTGTGGTTCTCTACAAAATTCATGTTGAAATTTCATTTCCATTGTGGTGATATTAATAGGTGGGGTCTTTTTGAGAAATGATGAAGTCATGAGGGCTATGCTCTTGTGAATGAATTAGTGCCTTATAAAAGAGGAGCAGGGAACTAGCTTAGGCCCATTTTTGCCCTTCTGCCATGTGATGACACAGCAAGACATAAAATCTTCTGGCACTTTGATCTTGGATTTCTCAGAGTCCAGAAAAGTAAGAAGTGAATTTGTACTATCTTTATTACCTAGTCTCAAGTATTTTGTTATAGCAGCACACACAGACCATATCACATACCTAGAATAAGCCAGGTACTATGCTTGGTGCGGGGTAGGTTGCCGAAGACAATAGCGGCTAAGGACAGGGTGCTAGAGTAGCACAAAGGAAGAACATTTAATTTAGAAAGCTATTTGGAAGTGTCTTCTAAGCCAAGAAGTGAAGATGAGTTGGAGGTGGGCTTCATGGATGAAAATAAAGTTCCTTGACAAAAGAAACAATACATTTAAATGTGAGAAGGAATAGGGTATGCCATTTTCAAGGAATTAAAGATCAAGGTGACTGAATTATTGGGTACAAGACTGAGAATCACCTAGGGATCTTTTTAAAGTACAGACTCTGATTCAAAATTCAGTCTGCTAGGGCTACCATAACAAAATGCCACAGACTTAGTAGCTTAAACAACAGATTTGTCTTCTTACAGTTTCGGAGGATTAGAAGCCCCAAGATCAAGGGTTGGTTTCTGGTGACACCTCTTTTCTGGCTTTTAGAGGACCACTGTCTCCTTGTTTTCTCACTGGGTCTTTTCTTTGTATTGGGGAGGGCAATGTTGGGCTGATGTCTCTTCCTCTTTTGTAAGGATGCTAGTCCTATCTGATTAGGGTCTTAACCTTAGGACCTCATTTAACCCTATTTATCACCCCACAAAGGCCTTATTGCCAAACACATTGGGTGTTAGGGTTTCAATATATGAATTTTGAGGGAACTTTTTATTCAGTTCCTAACAAGTAGATGTGGAGTATAGCCTGAGATAGCACATATCTCACAAGCTCCCAAGTGGTACTGTTGGTGCTGGTCTAAGAAACACGCTTTGACTACCAAGAAGTATATCCGGTCATCTACCCATAGCTGCTTAATGATTCACTTTTAAAGATGGGAGTGAGTCTGAGTTCTCAGTTCTTTGAGCTTGAAAAAGGTTGAGAACACAAGTCTGAATGGTTATAAATGATCATTTCTGAATAATTGAAGTTTGTTTGAAAAGTTAAAGTAAAATTAGCTTCACATAAGTGAATTTGATTTTTAGCTGTCTGAAAATAGTTATTAAGGAAGATAAAATACATTGGAGATTTGTACATTTTGCTGCTTCTTTCCACAGACAGTTGTAAAAGTACTAATTTTAAGTAGCATTCCCAGACCTGATTAAGAAGTAGTCTGAAAATCACTAGCCTAGAGGACTTGTCTGTGATGAATTTGTTCTGCCAAAAGTGTCTTTTATTGTCTGTTTTTTTAGTCTCAAAATGGTAATGGGTGTTTGGATATTTTGTTTTTGTGTAATTGGTGGGATAAGATGTGTAAGCAGATTCTATTTCCTGAAGCCTTATCCTATTTGAAGTTGAATTTATTTGTGTATGAATACATTGTAGTATGGGGTTGGGGTAAAAAACCAACCAGGTCTGATTGTGATTAGCTGTTTAGAATGCTCATATGTTCTGTTTTTATTTACTTATATAACTATATACTTATTTACATGGCATGTAAATACAGATACTGTTTTTAAAAATGATTTTTCTTAATCTAATTTCTAATTATGTTACTTTCTTTAGAGACCAAGAAGCGTCAGTGTAAGGTTCTTTTTGAGTATATTCCACAAAATGAGGATGAACTGGAGCTGAAAGTGGGAGATATTATTGATATTAATGAAGAGGTAAGGAAAAAATGTGTTATAGATAAAGTAGCAATGGTAATTGATGCTCTCTGGAGTTTAGAAAAATTAATTGTAAGAATATTAGTCTTTTGTGAGAACTTTTGTCACTTTAAAAATAAAATTAAGAGGTATAAAGTTTCTTTACTCATCCTTGCTGTAGTTATGTATGTATTCTATTCCTAAAGGCAGTATTTACTGCCTTTAGGAATAGAAATGCCCCTTTAAAGCTAAAAATTAATGTAATCTAAGTAGTTAAGAACATAAACAAGCCTTTTCTTTGATTCTGAATTTACCGTAGGCACAACGCAGTGAAATAGAAGCAGTTTTGCCTTTTGTGTAATAAAGGAATGCAAATCAAAATCTCTTGAAAAGCTTTGCCTTGTTTGAATTATCACATTCAAATATTAATAAAAATGTTTTCCTACATTTTGATACTTAGAATGGGATTTTAAAATATTTTAAAAATAGAGAAATCATGGTGGACAGGAGGCAGCACTAGATTGCAGCTCCACCAGGATGGACAGAGCAGCATATGGAGGATCACATCATGAACTTTTGCTCCAGAACCACTTTAGGAATATGTTAGGAAAGCCAAGAGAACCCACAGAAAGCCAATTGCTCCTGCAGGACCTGGGAGATACCCCAAATACTCGCAGCAAGACCCACGCAAGGAGAGTCTGAGATCAGACATGCCTAGCCCTGACCCCACCTAATGGTCCTTCCCTACCCACCCTAGTAACTGAAGACAAAGGGCATATACTCTTGGGAGTTCTAAGGCCCTACCCGCCTCCTATTCCTCCCCATGCTACACAGCTGATGCTTTCTTGAAAGTGCTACCTCCTAGCAGGAGGCCAACCAGCACAAAAATAGTGCATTAAACAACCAAAGCTAGGGAGCCTCACAGAGTACATTTCAACCCCTCCCCTCCACCCCCTTCCCTGCCGTGTCCACCAGAGCAGGTTCTGGTATCCATGGCTGAAAGACCTACAGATGGTTCACATTACAGAGCTCCATGCAGACAACCCCTGGTACCAGGCTGGAGCCTGGTAGACTTGCTGTGTGGCTAGATACAGAAGAGAGATAATCACTACAGTTTGGCTCTTAGGAAGCCACATCTCTAGGAGCAGGGGGAGAGTACTACATAAAGGAACACCCCATGGGACAGAGAGAATCTGAAGAGTCTTGAGCCCTACACTTACCTCTGACAGAGCTTACCCAAAACCAACTCCGATAATACGACAAAACAAGGTTCTTTAATATCCCCCCAAATCACTAGCTCATCAGCAAGGAATGTAGACCAAGAAGAAATCCCTGATTTAGCTGAAAAAGAATTCAGAAGGTAAGTTATTAAGCTGATCAGGGAGGCACCAAGGAAAGCTGAAGCCTAATGTAAGAAAATTAAAAAAAAAAATGATACAAGAAGTGAAGGGAGAAATATTCAATGAAATAGATAGCATAAATAAAAAATAATCAAAACTTTGAGCAACAATGGACACACTTACAGAAATGCAAAATGCTGGGGGAAGTCTCAGCAATAGAATTGAACCAGCAGAAGACAGAACTTCAGAGCTTGAAGACAAGGTTTTTGAATTAACTCAATCCAACAAAGGAAGAATAAGAAAATATGAACCAAGCCTCCAAGAAGTCTGGGATTATGTTAAATGACCAAACCTAAGAATAATCAGCCTCCCTGAGGAAGAAGAGAAATCTAAAAAATTTTTTAAAGTTTATTGGGGGAATAATCAGGAAACCTTCCTCGTTCTTGTTAGAGACTAGATATCCAAATACAAGACGCTCAATAAAGAACACCTGGGAAATTTATTGCGGAAAGATTATTGCCTGGACATGTTGTCATCAGGTTGTCTAAAGTTAAGAAGAAGGAAAGAATCTTAAGAGCTGTGAGGCAAAAGTACCAGGTAACCTATAAAAGACAACCTATCAGATTAACAGCAGAAGCCCTACAATCTAGAAGGGATTGGGGTCCTATCTTGTGGCTCCTCAACAAGAAAATTATCAGCCAATAATTTTGTATCCAACAAAGCTATGCTTCATAAATGAAGGAAACATACAGTCTTTTTCAGACAAACAAATGCTGAGAGAATTTGCCACTACCAAAACATTACTACAAGAACTGCTAAAAGGAGCTCTCAATCTTGAAATACATTCTGGAAACACAACAAAACAGTACCTTGGTTGGCATTGTACCAGGGTTGGCATTGGGCCGCTCTTGTTACCCAGGCTGGAGTGCAATGGCGCGATCTCGGCTCACCGCAACCTCCGCCTCCTGGGTTCAGGCAATTCTCCTGCCTCAGCCTCCTGAGTAGCTGGAATTACAGGCACGCACCACCATGCCCAGCTAATTTTTGTATTTTTAGTAGAGACGAGGTTTCACCTTGTTGACCAGGATGGTCTCGATCTCTTGACCTCGTGATCCACCCGCCTCGGCCTCCCACAGTACTGGGATTACAGGCTTGAGCCACCGCGCCCGGCTAACAGTACCTTTTTAAAACATAAATCTCACAGGACCTATAAACAAAAATTCAAGTTAAAAAACAAAAGCCAAAAGCAAAAAAAAAAACCCAAGGTATTCAGGCAATAAATACCACAATGAATGGAATGGTATGTCACATTTCAATACTAATGTTGAATGTAAATTGCCTAGATGCTCCACTTAAAAGATACAGAATTACAGAATGGATAAGAATCCAACAATCATCTGCTGTCTTCAGGAGACTCAACTAACAGATAACTCATAAACCTAAGGTAAAAGTGTGCAAAAAGACATTTCATGCACATAGATGCCGAAAGCGAGCAGGAGTAGCTATTCTTATATTGGACAAAACAAACTTTAAATCAACAGCAGTTAAAAAAGACAAAGATGGGCATTATATAATGATAGGCCATGTTCAACAGGAAAATGTCACAATCCTAAATATATATTCACCTAACACTGAAGCTCTTCAATTTATAAAACAATTACTAATAGAAATTACTAAGAAATGAGATAGTAACACAGTAAAATTGGGGGATTTCAGTGCTCCACTGATGGCACCAGACAGGTCATGAAGACAGAAAGTCAACAAAGAAACAATTTAAACTATACCCTGGAACAAATGGAAATAACAGATATTTACAGAACATTCTACACAACAACCACAGAATATACGTTCTATTCAACAGCACATGTTCTTTCTCCAAGATAGATCATACGATAGGTGACAAAATGAGTCTTAGTAAATTTTTAAAAACTGAATTTATATTAAACACTCCTTCAGATCACAGTGGAACAAAACTGGAAATCAACTCCAAAAGGAACCTTCAAAACCATGCAAATACATGGAAATTAAATGAATGATCATTGGGTCAAAAATGAAATCAAGATAGAAATTAAAAAATTTTTCTTAAAGACAGTAGTGACACACCTTTCGAAACCTCTAGTATACAGCAAAGATGATAGTAAGAGGATAGTTAATAGCCCTAAATGCCTACATCAGAAAGTGTGAAGGAGCACAAGCTGACAATCTAAGGTCACACCTTAAGGAACAAGAGAAAGAAGAACAAACCCAAACTCAGTAGAAGAAAGGAAATAACCAAGATCGAAGCACAACTAAGTGAAATTGAAACAAAAAATACAAAAGATAAATGAAAGAAAAAACGTGTTCTTTGAAAATATAAATAAAACTGATAGACCATTAGCAAGATTAACCAAGAAAAGAAAGAGAGAAAATCCGAATAAGCTCAATTAGAAACAAAGCAGGAGATATTACAACTGATACCACAGAAATACAAAAGATTATTCAAGGCTACTGTGAACTTTTTTCTGTGCATAAACTAGAAAACCTAGAGGGGATGGCTGAATTCCTGAAAGATAAAATCCTTGATTAAATCAGGAAGAATTGCGTACCCTGAACAGAACAGTAACAAGCAGCGAGATTGAAATTGGTAATTAAAAAATTACCAACAAAAAAAGTCCATGACCAGACATTAAAAGAATTGGTACCAATCCTGTTGACACTATTTCACAAGATAGAGAGAGGGAACCATTCCTAAATCATTCTGTGAAGCTAATACCACCCTAATACCAAACTGGGCAAGGATATAACAAAAAAAGAAAACTACAGACCAGTACTCCTGATGAACAAAGATGCCAAAATCTTTAACAAAGTACTAGCTAACTGAATCCAACAACATACGAAAGAAATAATGCACCATGATCAAGTGGGTTTCATATCAGGGATGCAGGGATAGTTTAACATATGCAAGGCAGTAAATGTGATACATCACACACAAACAGAAATAAAAATCACATGATTATCTCAATAGATGCAGAAAAAGCATTAGATAGAATCCAGCTTCACTTTATGATTAAAACTGTCAGCAGAATTGGATACAAGGGACATACCTCAGTGTAATAAAAGCCATTTATGATAAACTCACAGCCAACATAATACTGAATAGGGAAAAATGGAAAGCATTCCCTCGGAGAACTGGAACAAGACAAGAATGCCTGCTCTTATCACTCCTCTTAACATAGTTTGAAGTCCTAGCAAGAGCAGTCAGACAAGAGAAGTAAACAAAGGGCATTCATATCAGTACAGAGGAAACTAAACTGTCTCTTCTGATGATACGATTGTTTACCTTGAAAACCCTAAGGACTCCTTCAGAAAGCTCCTAGAACTAATAATATAGCAAAGTTTGCAGATACAAAATTAATGTACACAAATGAGTAGCTCTTTTATATACCAACAACAACCATGTGGAGAATCAAATCAAGAACTCAACCCCTTTTACAATAGCTTTAAAAAAAAAAAAAAGATATTTGGGAATATACTTAATATACCTAACCAAGGAGTCGAAAGACCGCTATAAGGAAAACTACAAAACCCTGCTGAAAGAAATCATAGATGACACAAACAAATGCAAAAATATGTTCCATGCTCGTGGATGGATGGAATTAATATAGTGAAAATGACCATACTGCTAAAAACAATCTACAAATT